TTAGGACAGTAGCAGGTGACACCGTCGGATTGTCAGATTTCTACTCGTATAATGAGCTATGACATAACTTCAGGGAAACAGTAACTACGTAGCACGTTAAAAATTGATCTACAAAGTGTATATGGAGAAATCTATTTCTTATTGGTTTTGATAGGGAGAAAACAAAGTGAACCTGTTGTGCGTGGAAGTATCGCTATGGCTAACTCATCTGCAGGTATCTTACATAGGCCCATATTCCACATCTAGCGTTATCACCTTCGTACATCACCGTTATTTTATAAATAAGGTCACAGAGTTTTGTCGTTAAGCTGGACTATTATCATCCTAGTTTCTGATGCATATTAAACTTAATATGACTGAGACATAAAGTTTCGCTGAATAATTTTCATTTCGAAACATTGCCTCATGTGTTATCTAATAAACTCCACTTTTCGCATAAGTGGAATTATGGGCAATGCATCGTGTCCCAGTGGCTTAATAGTCTAGAGGCCTTTCCTTGTAACCGAAAGCTGCTGGGTTCGGGTGCATGCTGCTAACCAGTCCCAAATTAGGACGAAACAGCTGTCCAGTACTCCCAGGTTTTCAATTGGTTGAACTAGAATTTTAATATCCCATAATACTGTTACTCTTAAAACTTGGTAAATTGGTAGTTATAAAATACTGTCGTAACTACATTATTTTTCAAATCTTCTGAATGTGAACCTACTGTAATCGAAAATTCTGCTTGTACTCAATTTACACGATGAACTAGATTAACGAAGTATTAAACACACAAAGACAATAATTATAGCATTGTATTCGTGAAACAAAGAATCTGTTCACTAGTAGAAACAAAACAGTAAGCATAAAGAATTATTCTATGCTGATCGCCTATTGGCTGAAAATGTTTCCTCTACTAACAGATTTCCTAATTTGTATGCATTGAAGAACGGCTTATCGTATTAGAATATATTGCTAAGTAATTCAAATAGGATAAATAGGATTCTGAGTGAACTAGTATTTGGACACATTTTCTCTTGCGTGTTTCAATGGCCTAGCAATATATTTTACACCATATGCTGATATTAAAAACACAGAATTATCATTGTGTATACTAGGAGAACTAAAGAAATAAAAGGGTTCTCAGAAAATCCATTGGGTTTTCTTTTTCATGTTTTAATTGATACTTCTTTATTACAATGATTTCAGAGTATACAATGCTCCCCAGCAAAATACCCTCATTAATTCATTTTGCCCTCAAAGTTTATAAAAACCAAGCCTATAGCAATTCAAGGCATGTTCTGGTTATGTGAACCAGTTAAACTAAAATATAATTTATCCATAATACCGATCAGAGTCTTTAGCCTTCACGTCTAGGCAAATTAACATGGTTGGCTTTTATAAATAGTGATTGTAATTTGAATTATATATATTAAATGCATTTAATGGTTGCCATCCAGCGATAAAATTCACACTCGAAATACAGAATGAATCTAGTATTCACTTCCTCGATGTGAACTTATCAAGGGGGACCGATGAAACCGTGAAGAGATCAATTTTGTCGAAAGTTGTCATGGAATGGTCAACTGACAAATTTCTACAGCTGGGTACCCATTGGTCGAAAAGGAAACCTGATCCGGTCGCTTGCCACTCGCATTCCACGCATATGCAGCCCTGATACTGTGGAGGAGGAGTTAAATCTTTTGAGTAAAATCCTAATAGAAAATGGATTTCCACCACGTTTTATAGACAGGAATATACATTCAAATCCTATAAAACGTGACTTACCATCGGCACCCAAGAAAATACTGTACATGAGCTTGGAATTCAAAGGTGACTTAGATTCTGATATTATGAAAAGAAGGATATCACAGTCACTGAAAAGGACATTCCCTACTGCATCTTTGAGAATAGCCTTTTCTAGTCGACCATTATTGTTCAATAACCTAAAGAACAAGATCCCGCTGTTGACCAACTGTATGTGTGTTTATCAATTCACCTGCTTGTGTGGAGCTAGGTATATCGGTCGTTTGACTCGAGTTTTGTCCAAGAGGGTGCAAGAACACTATCCTGCATGGTTATGAAAAGGTGGAAGTGGAGCAATAAGAAGCGCGATCATTGAACATCTGGTCAATACTGATCACCCTATTTCTACAGCCACCACCTTTAAAGTCATCTACAAGGCAAACAGTAATTTACCCAAATCACTATATAACCGACTCATCTGTACTGCTGAAGCTTTGGCTATCGAAACAGAAAAGGTAGATCTCTGTGTACAGAAAAAGTTCATTCAACCCCTCCAACTCTCATGGTCTTAATCCCTCTATGCTAAAGGATGCTAATCCCTAATCAAATATTGGCTCTAGCAATTTTTTCGTTTTGTTTATTCAATTTGTATACTCTTCCTTTATTACACCAACTGTTACTATTACTATTCTCCTTAATCTTGTAATTGCACACCCCTTCCAAATTCTGTATATCCTTTGAATTATTCAATATATGACATTAATTGTTTTGCCACTTGCCACTTGATATTTAACTAGGATTATAATCACAAATATTTTAATTGCATTTCATACTACTACTATTATTATTTCATGTATTCACACCTTTAATCTAATTCCCTCAATGGATATAATTTCTTATTTGTTGAAAAGAGTCTCTTCACTGAATCATCACTTGTTTTGATTTCTATATGTTACAATGGAAATTTAGCAGGAGTTTTATAAATAGCACAACTTTTCTACTGAATATGCGAAAAAATTCTATGAAAGCTATACAATGAAACATTGAATTCTATGTCATGAGATTGACAGTAACAAAATATCCTCCAAAAAAAGTTGATCATCAAACACATAAGGTAGCAAATGTTGGTTTGTAGGGATTTGATTGGTTACAGGATTTTTATCATGAGCTGACATTAGTTAGAGAACCATTGGAAAACCTGGGAGAACTGGACGGCTGTTTCGTCCTAGTTTGGGATTCTTCATCAATACACACCCACCTGATGAAGAGTCCCAAAATAGGACGAAACAGCCGTCCAGTTCTCCCAGGTTTTCCAATGGTTTTCTGACCAATGTCAGCTGATGATGAAAATCCTGTAAACATAAGGTAGCAGATTACTGATAAAGGAATAGAGGTTGGGCACCGCAATAGAGTATGATTTCATCAAGGAATAATATTTGCTCGATAGAAACACACAGTAATATAACATTATTTACTGATGGCGCCTTAGTGTGATTATGAATACCAAAACTGTGCACTAAACGTCACAAATAAATAAAATATTATATCACTGTGTGTTTTTATCACATAAAATTATTCTAGCATAATTCAGGCATAAATAGAGTTAGTTGTTTAATCATGTCATAAGTTATTCAACCAAAATGAGAGAGGTCAAGGATAGCCAAGATACTGATAAAATTAGTAAAGAAAAAAAATAATGGACATTGCAATTATCACTTTACATCATAAAATCTAAATGAAATTTGATGATATTAGATGGTTGGAGGTAGTCGGCAGGAAGCCTTCGACCTTGGTTTCCTACTAGTTGGCACTCATCAGTCAGAAAGGCATATCTGCAGTTTTGAAGGAACTCATGTCTCTTTTGAGATTCGAGGCTGGGTCAGCAATTCACAGTACGCTGTGACCGCGAACCACGTAGAATGGTGGCAACATTGCAAACTTGACTGATGGAATTTACTCTTCACCAAACAAAGGACTAGACACATTATACCAGTTACTAACTATCGTCCAATCTAAGCATCCAATACAGTCCTACTGGACTTCAGTCGCAACCCCAAATAGCTCAGTGGTAACGTCTCTGACTAGAGAACTGAGTGATGCGGGATCGAACCTCAGGAGAGACACGAGTTTCTTCTACGCATTGCAGATACGTCTCGTTGACTGGTGAGTGCCAACAAACACGAAACCTAGGCAAGCAAGGTTTCTTGTTGGTCGCCTTCACCCATCTAATATCAACAATTCATAGTTCATCGTGGTGTCGAGACATGAAGAATGGTGGCCGCATTACAAACCTGACTGATAGAATTCAGTCTTCACTGAACAAAGGAATAAACACATCACACTAGTTACTAGTGTCCAGTCAACGAAATGAAGTTATTACACTGGGAGATTACTGATATGCACAAGCAAACAAAGACAGAACTTTATTCATTTTGATGTCAATATGTAAGATGGGACATCACTGACGGTTTCAATAAATCAACTGATATTACTTTTTTTACAGGCCTAACATCTTGAATTGTAATCAGCTCTGTTAGTATCTTATAGTTTTACTGGTGAATAGGTAAAACAAGCAAGAGACTGAAGAAGGTCACCAATATCATCCCACTATGAATTTTTACGCATATCAGTAAACAGCACACATTACAAAACATCTGGAAAAAGATGATTCGCTTAAGAGGCTGACAGAGGTCATTTAATTATATTTTAGTTATCAAATCCAACAGACAAATTAAACGTTTACTTTAGATTCTTACGAGTGAACTTAAAAGAAGGTGCATTTCAAACCTTATGAGTAAAGTAATTATTCATCCCATATATATATGCGTCAGTTCAACATTAGAATGCTAGCACATGGTCAGGAGCTCGAATCCTTGCTGAGGCTCTCGTAAACCTGGCTTAACCGATAGCACACCCGGTAAAGAGGGAAAACTGGGTACGCAGCTGGCAAACGCAGCCCGTAATAAACTCCACTGCTACTGAAACCTCAAAACTCAAGCCTGAAGCCATATATATTACACTCGGAACACAAAGGAATAATAATAATATATACATATATACCGTCAAAAATACGTAAATTTTCAGGTCCTTATCAGACAGTGAGAAAGTTAGCCATTCGCAAAAACAGCAGTCGCCATTATGAGATGCCTTGGACACTTTTGGTACCTTCTAACCAATTTCCTTATTCGTCTAGTTAAACATAAATGTGCATTTTAGATGAGATACTTGGTTAGAATGTAATATTAAACAAAAATAAACCACTTTTCTCCACGTACCAGTATCATAATTAAAAACTATATTTTCTCCAAGTTCTAAAGTCCCTGCAGCTGCCTGTGATACAACAGTTTCTGTGCGCACTGGACCAGGCCATAAGCTCAGGATGCATATATTAGTCTTGGTACGTTTTAAATCATAAGCCATATCAGTTGTCATACGGTCCAGAGCAGCTTTACCTGAGAAATGAAACAAACAGGCAGATTAAAAATGTGTGTGTACAAAGTAACGCTGATGAAAGTTAAAAAGATGTTAGGAAGCCTGTTGGAAATGATTTTGGTAATGCGTGCGCCAAGTCTATCACCCATGTAGAAGAAGTGACTTAACAATTGTGTTGAAAATCGTAATCTTGTTCATTATCTCTGAGAAGAAACATGCCTTAATTACCTCTCAGGATGTAAGGCTGGAAAGTTGGGCGGGGAGAACACTTCTATGAGAAATTCAACCAGCCTACAGCAACACCAAATTTGTCCAGTAACCATCACTTACCCAAATGGAATGTAGACACCTGCGCTAAAACTGTAATTGAAGTTACAGAAGCTGTCTCAAATCTCCATTCCCTAATACTTGTTGAGCGATAGGCTCTTGGTTGGTTTGCTCCAAGCCAGCCAGCCAGCCAGCCAGAGTTTCTTGTCTCTAATTGTTTCTGGCTGGCCATTTGATCTTTATTATGGAGCCAATGAAGGCAGCTGTGGATAAAAGTATGTAACTTGTTGGAAATCCTTTTCGTGACACGCTGGCCATGTTTCTAACCCGTAAAGAACATGACTGACTGACTGAATTAACATTTGGGTTGAAAATCCAAATCTCGATCTTTATGACGGGTGCAGAAGATTTTCAAACTGGTTTCAGGTTGATGAGGGTGTGCGTATATTGCCTTTCCTATTCGTTGACTGACTTTGACATCTTCATCCATTCCTAATTCCTGTAGTTGAAACGATGCTTCTTAGATAGGTTAAGGAAGTAACCTCTATCAAGTTTCTCGCGTTGATGTTGATTGGTGCTGGTTGTCTTTGTTGTTGGTTGGTTGGTTATCTTCATCACCTCCATGCTCTCTATGTTCACTCAGAGTCTTGTCTTCGCTGCTTCTTCAGCTAGTTTGTTGGTTTTCACCTGCAAATCTTCCAGTTAGTGTAACATTAAATATATATATATCATCTGCGAAATCCAGATCTTCTAGAGTCTTCCTATCGGTGGTTCAGCGTATTCCTGTCTTATCGCTTCTCACACACTGTCTGCTGCACGATCCAATCCACAACTAGGAATCTCATGACAACACGTCTTTTATTTGGATTTTTCATATATGTATGGTATGGGTGTTGATTTATTTACATTGCAAGTGTTCGGTTTTCGGTGATTAAAAGGAGTGTGAATCCATTCGTTATCATAATAATGATGCAACATTAATACAGGGGTGATTTTTTCAATATAATTTACTGCTCATAATTCTATCAGTGGACTCGTACGATTTACTCTGACTGCATATTTATATTACTACTTTCCCCTTTTCCTCATATAAGTTTTCGCATATCTTAGGCTAGAGGAAAAAGATTCAGCGATTAAATTCAGAAACAATTAGAACTATATTAAACAAGTTAAGAAGTTGTATACATTCATCGATTTGATTATAAACAATGAGCTGTCTTGGAGATGTCAGCCATGTGAGTCGGTGGCACAGTGGTTAGGACTCTCGCCGACCATGCACATGGTCCGACGTTCGACTCACACCCGATATCTATGGTCGGCCTGCAAAATTTAGGCTACCGATATCCATGCTGAAAATTCCATACTTGTACTGAAAATACGGTGTGGAATCAAGCTGTAATAAAAAAATATAAGGTTGTACTTGATATCAGATAAAGACATCATATATACGGAATATTGGATAATTTAAACAAAACAATAGAATCTACACCTCTGTGTGTACCAGAAGGCGACCAAACATCACAAAATACATCTCAGGTTCACGTTAGAAAAAGAGAAGAATTTTGTTTAATTCTTTAATTTAAGGAGTGGCAATGTTGAGCAGAACCAAGTTAAGAAACATTAAAGAACACTGAAAGGCTACTTCCTACTACCAGGAAGTTTCACACTGAAACGTACAAACTATCCCATTTGAGTTATAACTCTGTGCGACTGAGTTGTTCAGCAAAACTCAAATTTAAACAACTCATGATACAAGGTAATACGCATATCATTTAGTATGCACCAAAAACAATCTGATATAATTTCAACATTTACTTAATGCATAAACAACTTTTTACCTGATCCGTATGGTACATTGAAGAAATACACTTTAGCACCAATTGAAGAGACATTAACAATTAATCCAGGTCTAGTGTGATCAGTTCCAACACCCTGATTTTTCAATTTTTCTTGATACTTGATCATTAGTTTTGTGGCGAGAACACAACAAATATAATTATTCCTTAGGCCAACACTGTTTATAATATCCCATGCTTCACCAGGTGATTTGCTGTCAATCTCAAAATAAGGCTTATCCACATTCTCTAAGAGGAAGCCAACAGCACTGAAAGCGTTATTGACTAAAATATCCAGACGACCATTTTGTTCGCGTTCAATTCGTTCGAATAACTTGGCGATTTGATTGTCGTCAGTATGATCGACGACTATAGGTATACATCTCTAGAAATGTACAAATAATATTAGAAGTAAGAAAAATATAGCAATCATATTTCAGAAATTATTGAACTAGCCGTACTTCTTAACCAATCTTGTATTTGATTTGATAGTGTGGAAAATTCCCATATTATGAATCTGAACGAAGAATATTCTTTTCAATAATTTCTCCTCTTCAGGTTCTTACAATTATAAAATATAATATTTGTTGTCGTTACAATAAAGGCCAGTTATGCGGCAGGTACATTTTTTAACGTAGAATAACAGATCAGTTATGGGATGTCAAAATAAATAGTCGTATTTGTGTGACAAACGTGCTAGGCTGAATTCAGTTACAAAATATTGTAAAACGGGAGACAATGGTGATTAATCATCATAGATTTGTGGACGGTGGGGTAGGAAAATTGACAAGTCAGTTCAAGGTTATAAAAGGTGTCAGGTGAGTGGCTAGTACAAAGTGGTCTGTGTTGAACAGGAGATATTAAGACTGCAATGAGAGGTTCATAATGAGATAACGAATATGTGAAATGAAACAGGTGGAGGTATATATTAAGAAAAGAGATAATATCACTAATAATAAGTCCGGATAGTATAAACGAAAAAATTCGATAGTATTGAGAGAATGTTTGCATGAAGGGCATAAATTATGACGAATAATAATTGTAATAATAATATTTGTAATAATAAGCAAAGGAAAAAAAGCCCAGAGGGTTAAGGGGAAGGAGCACTCTTGGTGAGAAGAAGAATCATCAATCCAAGTTTGGCCACGGTAGGAACAGCATCTGGACGTGTTCTTTTTGGATACAAAGTTCCGGTTTAGTCGATCTTATTGCAACAGCTTCAGCTGTGTAGGAGACGTAAGCGAACTGTACGTGATAACGACTTCGGAATTCGGTATATAACCCTGAAAGCTGTGTTGACATCGATATGGTGTCCAGTATCGACCAAGTGTGACAGGATCGAGCTTTTTATGCACTTAATTTCCCCCCTGCTGAACCAAGCTGGTAAATGTTCTCGAACCCGTAGACTAACCTGCCTAATACGTGCGCCCTATATAACTTGAACCACAGGAACAGTTGAAATGGTATATGCAGGAAGAAGAGCTAAGGTTAAGTAAGACATCTTTGAGTTGCTGGGCAAACATTGGACGGCTACTGAAGGATAGACACAGACGTGCAGAGTAGAAAGTTTCCTTGATCGCCCTGGTTAAACGTTGCGATAGAATCTCTGCAGGAGTATCTCCCTTGAATTGGAGACGTAAAAACAGAGGCTTTTTCTCCACCGTTGTCAGTTCATGTTTACGGCTATTTATTTTGACACCCCAAAACTAATCTGTTATTCTACGTTAAAAAATGTACCTGCCGCATAACTGGCCTTTATTGTAACGACAACAAATATTATATTTTATAATTGTAAGAACCTGAAGAGGAGAAATTATTGAAAAGAATATTCTTCGTTCAGACTGACTTTTAATTCAATCTTGTATTTCTTTGTCTGAGTAATCTCGCATTTATTAAAAAAAACTTTTTCAGTCGAATTGAGTATAGGCTAGAAGGTTATTCATTTTATACTTCGAAAGACTCTCTGGGAGACTTCTGAGCTATGATAATTAGAAATATTGAAGACTACGACAAATGAATCCAAACTGCAATCGTTGAGAATTGAGTTTTGCCTCGATTACTTGTTTATCTTCCCGATAAATCTGAGGGGTAGATAAACCGAATTATAAAAGTTAATTTCCTTTGACTCACTTCAGAAGAGGAAATACAAACGAACAATATTGTTGTTTTCAATTAAATCTTCTTCAGGCTTTACTCTAATTTACACAGTTTTATGTATCATAAAATTTTAACCAATGACGGTGAGCTTGTGCATCAATTATAATAATAATATTGATAATAATGTGTTAAATTTTTTGTAAGACAGTAATTACGATGATTATAATGATAACAAAATAATGATAATAGGGATTTTGCACGTGGCGATAACGATAAGGAAGGTGTCAGTAATATGTGTATATATATGGAGACGATTTAATAAATAAATAAATTAGGTCAAATCTTAAAAGTTACCTAGTCCTAAAGGTGAAGTGGACAGATAATCAGTTTAAATAAATATCATAAAAGTACGAAGGAAATGGAAAATAAGAAAGGGTGGGAGGGTTTTTAATTAGAATTTCCCTAGGCAAGCAAGAGAGAGACAAAGGTAGAACAAACTTCTCTTGTATGCAAAGTCTAAGATGGTTCTCTAGAATTCTTTTCAGAAGTTCAACAAAAAAAATGGAATACTGATCGACGCTGAGTACTGACAAACATCATCCGGTAATTAAAGTAAATCAGAAATTTGGACTACATCTTCGTATGACTTCAATTAATGAACGGATAATCCAGTTGATAGAAGGATTTTCACCAATAAGCTGTATAGTATTCAGCTGATACATGCCGATTATAACAACTAGAAAATATTTTAAAAGTCTGAATAACAGCAAGGCATGATTATTGCCGAGATAGAAGTTCATTAAAGAGTACAGTCTGTATTATTGTACTGCTTAATTTTTTTTTTAATTTTGAAATCAGAAGACAGTAATTTATATCTGCAAGCGTCCATTCTTAAATATATGCAAACATTAATTAAATAAAACATAATCTGCAATTTGTTTATATAAACGTTTATTAAACAACCATATCCTCTGCCAATTACAACGGAATCTTGGTGTTTAATTTGAACTGTTCACTAACTAGCTATAAAGACGGATAATTGCATGCAACTTCTCATCCCTGACCTAGCCTTATCGACTAAAAGAATGAGGTTGAAATAATTATAATACTACTTCTAATAATAATAATAATAACAGCTTTATACAATAACATCCGTCCATGCAGGGAATTCATCATATCTCTCTAATTTAGTAATTGAAAAGCTAATGCACAATGCCTATTTGGGACACTTATTTGTTAAATGGAGATTTTCCCACCATCACTAGCTGTTCTGCAAAACATCACCACAGTCTTCACATTTTAACTGCTAGTCACCATCCACCAAGTGTTTGATGTTTATAAGGAAACAATTTCAAGTTATAATTACTTTGCCCGGTATCTCTATAACTTGATCTATCATGAAAAATCTGTCTTTCGTCGTCTCCAGCTCTTTACTCATCACTGTAGTTTGAGAAAATTTGCCAATCTGTATGCTTACTTCTCTAGCTGACTAAGCAGCTATGTGGGAAGTAATTAAAACTTTTCTGTATGCGTTTTCATGAAGAAATAAACATCTTTACAACAAAGTCTTAAGCACTACTGCATGACTTACTCCGCCTGCACTGGTTATGATTTCCGCTGTTTCCTCTAAAGAACCTCCAACATTTCTGCTATCTGGCTTTAATGTCCGTCCAGTAATGTACACAATAGCCCCGGCTTGACCCAATTCAATTGCAATCCCTTTACCAATGCCTCGTGTAGCTCCAGTTACTAGGCAAACACAACCATCAAGTTTTCCACTCATAATTTTGTATTTTAATCAAGGAAACAATATTTTCGTATTAATCTTTCAGTTAGGCCAATCACTGCTAGTTGATTGGTTGCATTTGTTTATATGCTATGATTGGTCAGTTGGTTTTTTATCTAATTAATTCGAAGTGGCAATTTCACATAGTTCAAGGTCAACCTAAGCGGGTGAATTATTTACCCTACCATGAGATGTACCTTTGATTAGCTGATAGAGGATAAGTAGATCATATGAGGCACTGATTTAACAAATTATAAGATCACATTATGCTTTGTTCTAGTAAATCATGTTTTATAAGTGAAAATAATGTTGGTAGCATTAAGAAAAATGTATATATGTTTTCAATCTGCTGGTAGTCAGATGATGTTTAAACGAATACACATATATGAGTGTTATTAATGTAAAATTTGCCATTTCTATAATTATTAAGATAGTCATTGAAAAATTTCAGCGGAGGAATTTCTGATATGGGTTATTAAATAGCTTAAATTAGTGAATGAAAAACAACACAAGTAGTTCAGTCAAGAGGCTCCTTCCGGGGAACAATCGCACATATATACAGTTTTTTTCTCTCCACAAAACAGGATAGTTATAAAAGGGATGAGTTGTCATAATAACTATTACGAATATATACCGATACACTGAAGCTGGATGAGAGCGATGATGTTAAGCAATGAGAAGGATTACTTACTGAGTGGAGTGTAACCAGAATTTGCATAGAAACGAGAAAAAATGTGATATTATATAAGAGTTCAAAGGAGAAAAATCGGAAAGTAAGCAAAAACAAACTGGTTGGAAACAACATGGTTATTACCATGATAGTAGGTGTGGTAAAAAAAATCCTTTTCTGCATGAAGAACGCCACTTCACAGTGGCAGCATCAAGCATATTTCGACGAATTCAGTCACCTTTCGTATATTATTTAGTTTCACGGTGACTCGATGTAACTCTTCTCTTAGACATAATCTACTGACATTTTCGGCAGCTGATGTTATTTTGCTTGAAGTAACTGGAGTACGTAGACGTAAATATTTCGGAATTATATGATTTTCAAACATCGACTGTTAAAAATCCGATGATTTGTGAATCTTGCTTCGGTTTGACAAAGTCGTGTGAGTTTCTTGATAAGCTTCCTGGTCTTCCTACCAGGAATTCAGTCACCACCTGTTCCAGCCAGTATATATACTCATTTAAATTAACTATCGAGCAGCACTAGCAATCCATACAGAGAAACTGGAGAGAGCTCTTCGACCACCTCTTGTTATCATTATTATTCCCTTGGGTTCCTAGTGGAACACAGGGCTTCAAATACATGTCTCCACTTGCTTCTGTCTTCTGCTGTACTTTTCACCTGCATCCATGTTAGTTCATACTCTTTCAACTCTTTTTCACACGATCTCCTCCATGTCACCCTTGGACGTCCCACTCGACGCTTCCCTTTCGGATTCCACTCGAGCACTGGCCTGACGCGCGATGTCACCCAGCGGCCTCCTCAGCGAGTGTCCAATCCATCTCCACTTTCTCCTGCATAATTTGTTGGGCGATTGGTTCTTGTTTTGTTTGTTCCCCACAGTTTCTTGTTTGTGATTCTTTCCGGCTATCTGATCTTGAGTATAGAGCGAAGACAGTTGTTGATAAAGGTTTGCGACCTGTTGGAAATATTCTTTGTGACCCGCTGCCAAGTTTCCGATCCATCCGTATAGAGGAACTGACTGACTTGAAGTTTGTATTGAAAATCCGAATTTTGTTGTTGATGCTGAGTGACGAAGATTTCCAGATTGGTTTCAGGTTGATGAATGTGTTTCTCGCCTTCCCGATTCTCGATTTGACATCCTCGTCCGTTCCTCCTCTAGTTGAGACAATGCTCCCTAGATAAGTGAATGAAGTAACCTCTTTCAAATCCCTCCCGTTGATGGTGATAGGCACTGGATGTTGCTGCTGCTGTTGTTGTTGTTGTTGGTTGGTTGGTTACTTTCATAACCTCCGTCTTGTCTCTGTTCACCTGGAGTCCTGTCTTCTCTGGCTGCTTCTTCGACCAGTTTGTCGGTTTTCGCTTGTAAGTCTTCGATTTTGTGTGACATCAAACATAAGTCACCTCTAATACCATGATAATGACTGTATTGTATTCGACCACTTTGTGTTTTGTTTTCCATTTCTAGCTCTTGTATTCTTTCGAACTGCTACGCAATATCACATGTTCCCCGGCTTCAATGTAAATCTTGATTATAGCTCACCCATCAAATAATTCAACCCATTGCGTAACTTTAACACTCTTATTCAACCTCTGTGTATTGATAAATATTAGTAACTATGATTATGAAAACTTATCCTTTTTGTTAACTATCCCCTTTTGTGAAAAGATTTTATGTAAATGAAACTATTTAGTTAAGGAAAATAAATTCAAAACAATTAGTTCCCTTTATGAATTTAGATAAAGCAATAAGAAGACGTAATTTGTCTGAGTCGTGTAATGTATTTGCGCAACACATTTCGAACAATCTGATCACACATGGACTTGTCATAGTGACAAATATGAAATTAATAAAGAGTTAAGAGTTGAGAAAATAGACAAGTTGGGTCAAATTAAAAGGACATATTGAAGGTCAAACTAACAATGAAGACCACTAGACCAAATTGCAGAGGTATTAGTACATCTGCTATAGTATCAAAACAAAATTTACCAAGGAAGGTTTAATGTGATGACGAATTGTTTTTGAACGCATAAAGGTGGCTTAAACTTGCTAGGATACGCCCCAAACACGTTTTATAGATAGGTTTAAAAGATCTGTTAACGTCAATTTTATGTCCTGTCTCCATAATATGTTTCGCAATAGAGGTCCTATGTCTCCTGTTCTCACCATTAGTGGTTTCTGAAGATTCCATTTGTTTCTGGAAAATGAATTCGCCGAAATGAGGCTCTTCACTGAACTACTTGTTTTGGTTTTCATTAACACCTGGACAGGAATTATTCATGAATTAAATCAGCTTATCACCATGCAAATGCAACTTAACGAACATGTGAAGACCAATGAATTTTCTATGCACCAACTTTCATGAATGAAGCAGTAGTTGAATTTCACTGTTGCGCTATTTTGACAGGATTTTTTATACTTCGGTAAATTCAAATGCTACTTATACCTATATCACAAAGTCAACTTTATTCAGTCAAACCGAAATATAAATAATAAGTGGATAGTCAAATGGGTATTTTGCCATTTTTAACTTATTCGTGATCCTAAACGCCAGAGAATTTATTTTACATTCCTAAATTAATAAAGCAGACAAGGTAACTTCTCGCAGAATATGTTCAACAGTATATCTGCTTTCACTCAAGAAACACCCAAAAATCACAATATATCACTCAGTACATACTGGTAAGACTGTATACAAGTAGATGATTTTGTCGGCTTGTATGCGTAAACGCGTAGCTGAAATCTACCGTGTTTGGCTAATGAAAGGTGAGAAGAGAATGACAAAGTCTTTAATCTGTGAACACATTCTAGAGTCAGGTCATTCAGCCCCACATGATTTATCCTACAGGAACAAGTCCAATCACTCCAAAATCTTACGTTTTTTCTTCTTATGCATAACCCAAACTCTAGGTATACATGAACAAGTAGCTAAATTATGTATTCAAAGAATGTTTTGTCAAATTCCTTTTTTACCTTGGTCATAGTAATGTTCTTTTATCTTATTCTATTTTACAACTTGAATTCATCATTGCACTTCTTCACTTTCCCCGTCTTTATCATCATCATCATCATCACAGTACTTTCGATTTTTCAGACAACATTTGACCCACAATTTTAAAATCTTTCTACAAGTTCACTTATATACTAATCTTTGAAAGGTTTGTAATTCATCCACTTCAACTCTACTCCCTTAATACATGATTTGAATTATCTTTATTCTTATCATCAAATGTGCAATATTGACCACTGAGCGATTTCTAGTGCCACTTAGTGCTTCCTTTTTCCGTAATACAAATACGACTGTACAGATTGAAAGTGAATTCGTTGAAAAGAGATATTTATTCGCTGAACAAAAAAAAATGTATGCGAAAGACAATAGACATTTTTTGGTCAGAATAAAATGAGTAGAACTTACTAGCTACTATTCATCCTATCTGAGACTACTCGTCTAGAAGTTCAAGGTCATAATGTGTCTGGTTAGTGAAGAAATATAAAACTACCAGGAGGGCACAGGTAGAATACGTTTTCTTTAATAAAATGTTAAGAATAAATATTAGATGAAAAAAAAGTGAGTGAAGGTGAGAAACATCCAGAATTTATACTGGTTTAGTTTCAAGGTTGATTGGGTTACACCGTAACGTCAGTTAGAGACTCATTAAAATCCAGGATGCGCTGGATACATGCTTCCATCTAGTTTAGCACCCATCAGAAATGTTCTCCAACCGACGTCAACTCATAATGAAATTCTGAAGATATTATCCGTGAAAGAGTGCATTTCAGATAGACAGCGTAAGCTTATCCTTTCTTATTGCAGAGCTTCAGTTATTCGAAGACACGACGTTTCAGCGTATATTTACTGGCCCATGTCTGACAAATATGCAGGTATAGGACTGACTGCAAATCAAGCTGATAAATCTACTTGCACACAATGGCAAACATGCTTAAGTTATGCATGCGCTATATAATTTGTTGCAGAAAACAGATGTTTAATTTGAACAAAGCCTTGATAAAGTATGAGATTTAGGAAGATACGCGTTACAATAAACAAAATACCATACATCCGTCATCTAATAAATGACTATTAGAAGCTCATTTGATCATTTCCATTAATCTCATGATTTTAATTATTGCCTATCGTAGAAATAACTTCATTACTGATATACATTTATTCACTGCTTTAATTAAAGTGAATGTTTGGCTTCAGGACCTAGAGTGGATAGGAGTTATGCAAAAACGAAATATTCTATCCAGTGAACTGTATTCTAAAATCTCAAATGACTAAACTTGTCGACTATGCATGTAAACACGAAAAATACAGAGCAGCATAGTTCACGTTCCGTCATTAACAGGATTAACATCGAATTAACTGAGAAATATAATCTGTATACAAAAACAAACGCATTCACTGCATTTCAAGCTAATTCACTCACAGTCAGCACAAACTACATGTGCAAAAAATGCGAAAAACTTCCTTATTTGTTTACAATTGATAATACTTCCATTAAATTTTGAATAAATAAATTCTGGTTTATCGCATGGTACATAAGTGAGTTCCAAAATCTGAAGAATATTTAATTAGTTTTCAGCAGGTAACATGCTTAAAAAGTGCAAAGGACTTAAAATATATGAAATCCTTGTAAAGAATTAAGACTATTCACTTAGTAAGTAAAATGTGACATTCACTAGCTGATGAAACTGAATTCTTTCAGAAATTAATGATACGGA